GTGGCTCACGGGCTCAGTAGTTGTGGCTCGCAGGCTTAGTTGCTCCGTAGCATGTGGGATCTTCCCGGACCAGGGCTCGAACCGGTGCCACCAGGGAAGCCCCTAAACTCAATTTTTAATTTACTTCCTCTCCTAAAACCTGCTCTGCCTCCTGTATTTTCAGTCTTATTTGTCTGACTCTCTGTTCTCTCTCACATAACCCTGCCTCCTGCCAGTCCTGCCTTTGGAAAATCTCCCACCCACCTGGTCCCCCCGTGTTCCTGGGCCCACCTTAGGTTTAGTCCTGCCTCACTCTACCCGGGCTCGTGACAGTAACCTCGCTCGACATGTCCCTCTTTCCACTCAGGCTGATGTGCTTTATCTTCCTAGTGTCTTCTGAGAAAATGAAGCTGATCGCTTCACTCTGCTGTCTTAAAGTTCTCGGACTTGCTGCTGTTGTTGTCGTCCTTGTTGTTCTAACCAGATGAAATCTGAACCCCATAGCTCTGTGTATGCTGTCTGGCCCCAGTCTGTCCCTTCAGCTTCACCTCTGTCGTTCTGCACCCAGCCCCCTACCTGATGCTTCAGCTGCAGGGGAGGCTCACTCTCCCTAGGTCTGCACCAAGCCCCAAGGTGGCTCTGCGCGTCTGCACTTGCTTTATTGCTCGACCGCCTCTTCTGTCTCTGATCTCCTGGACACACTCCTGTTCGGGAACATCTCGGATCCCTCCCCCGAAGCGTTTTCAGGCCTCGGTCATGGCCCTTTCCTTGCTGGGTCATAATCATCTGTGTACGTGCAGATCCGTTCATCTTTCAGCACCTAGCACATAGTAGGCCCTCAGTACATGCTGGTTCGGTGCCTCAAGGAATGTCAGAGAGAGTGTTTAAAACAATAGGAAAGGGGCTTCCCTGGTGGCGTAGTGGTTGAGAGTCCGCCTGCCGATGCAGGGGACGCGGGTTCGTGCCCCGGTCTGGGAAGATCTCACATGCCGCGGAGCGGCTGGGCCCGTGAGCCATGGCCGCTGAGCCTGCGCGTCCGGAGCCTGTGCTCCGCAGCGGGAGAGGCCACAACAGTGAGAGGCCCGCGTACCGCCAAAAAAAACAAAAACAAAAACAATAGGAAATATACTTGTAAACAAACAGAGGACTAGCCTGTCTCTCTTTGGCTCAGTCAGCAAGGGAGTGGCACGTGGCCGGTGGGGAAAGCCTCCCTCAGGCAGGGACCAGGGTGCAAGACGAAAATCCTGCCTGATCACGTGTGTACCCCTCCCTCTCCTGGGCCCATGAGTGACGGTGTCGCCCAGTGGGAGAATACACCCGGAGTGCGAGCCCTGGGGTGGGAGCCCAGCTCTGCAGGTCACCCTCTCGGGGCCTTGGACCAGTCACTAACCTTCGTTTTCAGTAAGAGACATTTGATACTTACTTTTACACTTTCCTGATTGTTAATTTTGACACAGGAAGACTTCACATAGAAACTGCCTCTTTTTTGTCATTTCTCTTTCCTTTTTTAGCTTTATTGAGCTAAGACTGGTGAAATTGTAATATGTTCAAGGTATACACCCTGATGGTATAATGTACACAGACATCATGAAGGGATTGGATTCTCCATCCTTTCGGTCCAGTTATTAACACATACGTCATCTCACGATTTCCTTTTTTTCTGTATGAGAACACTTAAGTCCTGCTCTCTTAGCGGATTTCAAGTCTGCAACACAGTGTTATGGAGTCTAGTCATTGTGTTGTACCTTAGACCTCAGACCTTATTCATCTCATAACTGAAAGTTTGTGCCCTTTCACCACCCGCTGCCATTTCTCACACCCCCAGCCCCTGGCAACTACTGTTCTACTCTCTGTGTCTCTGAATTTGATTTGACTTTTTTTTCCCCCAGATTCCACATATAAGTGACACCACGCAGTATGTATCTTTCTCTGTCTGGCTTATTTCACTGAGCACAATGCCCTCCAGTTTCATCCACGTTGTTGCAAACGTCATCTCTTTGTTGGTGAGCAATAATTCTTAACTCAGTGCCAGTAGGGTTGTTTTATTTTACCTGAATCCATCTCTCCTTGCAGCTTCAGAACGAGTTAGAGAAGGGTGAGCGGGACAACTCAGAGCTACAGGAGTTTGCCAACGCCGTCCTGCAGCAGATAGCAGACCGCTGCCCCGACATCCTGGAGCAGGTGGTCAGCGCCCTGGAAGAGTCATCGTGACCGTCTCCGTGGGGAGCGGCCAGCCCAGTACCGTAGCCCCGCTCGATGAGCCCAGGAGCCGAGAAGGGAGAAGCACGAGGAGGGGGCGCTCAGACGGCTCTTGGCAGCAAACACACACTCCAGACTCTGCCCTGTCTCGGTTAGTCCCACGAGTGTGTCTCCAGCACCGTTTCTGCGTCTGTCCTCCTGTCTCCCGCTGTTGTCTCTGCGCTAATTGTCCTGCTGTCCAGGGCGGGTGAGTGGCCGAGCCTCCGTGGAGAGCTGCCATCCAGCCATGAGCAGTGACACCGTGGACGCGGGCGGCTGTGCCCTGACAGAGGGACGCGGGGGAGAGCCCTCCTCCCTTCTGTCCGTGGCGTGAGAACTAAGTCTGGACTCTGCAGAGCTCGGCTCACCGAGAGACGCCTTCCCTGCAGACCAGGGCGCTGCGTGTTCTAATGCCACAACAGGTGCTTTCTCGTAAAAGGGTAAAAAAGGCAAAACACGATCTCAGAAAGAGTATTAAAAAAGAGACGGCGGGGAGCGAGCAGGGACAGGGGGCCGGCCGGCTCTTCTCTTTCCCAGCCGTCCTGGCTACTCTCCACCAGGGCCGTCTGCGCGGGGCCGCGGGCGGGCTGCGCCGGGGCTCCGAGATCCTGGCCTCCGTGCCTCACTGGCGCCTGCGCTTCTCCTAGCCTCCGGGGCGAGTCCCTATTGTTGAGGACCTTGGTGTGTCAGAGCACATCTGTCGCTGAAAGAGAAGCGGGCAGTGTGGTCACCCCCGCAGCTCTGCTTCTGTGGAAGGCGACCGGTCCTCGGGGTCAGGCCGGCTTCTCCCAAACACCTGCCTCGTCAGCAGTCTAGGCCCCAAAGCATGCTTCTGCCTCACCCCACCGCCCGTGCTCCACGCTCAGGCGGCCCAGCCTCCCCACTTCAGCTTTTCCTCCTGAACCAGAGCTTCTGCTTCAGATGAGGGTTTCTCTTCCCACACGCATCCCTTCCCCCTTTCTTTCATTCGGATAATCACTATGAAGTGCCTACTGTGTGCAAGTTGCTGTCAGGCACCCATCCTGGAAGAAAGCCTCTCTGCAGAGAGGGAGGGCAGTCGAGGATTCTGTGAGACCCACCTGGTCAAGTCAGAACAATAAGAGGCACACCCTTTCCCTCCCCCATCTTAATAGAAGGTATCTTTTCCCGAAGAATCTTCCACAAATCAGCATTTCTCGTTATAATGGAATTTATGGGTTGTGGGGGGCAGAGGGCTGAGTCACTTACTCGCCTGCAGGATCCCATCTGGCGACTTGGGATTCGGGGTTTTGTCCCCCTGAGAGAGTGTACTGTTTAATGGGCTGCAACGGTGGATGGTGTTTTCTCTAGACATCCAGGTGCACCTTGTCGAACTCGGCCAGGTCCATGTTGCCAATCAGAAAATTGACCCCGAAGTTGCAAATCCCGCGGAAGGGGTTGACGTCTTCCCCAGGTGTAGATAACGGCAGCCTTAAATATCAGGCACCAAGAAGTAGATCCCTCCACCCAGCTCTGTAGCCCCTTGACCACCTCTCTGGCCAGACACCCACCAGACGCTCACATCCTGGTGAGAGTTGCTGGGCTCGATGGGTCTGTCTTGCGTTTTCTCCTTTCTCCTCCCCAAGTTCTCCGATGCTGCCTGTTAGGTCCTCACAGCCGTCAGTCCTGTATCTTCCCGCCAGCAGCCTGTGACTGTACCACTAACTTATATGGTCACATCTCCAGCTGCCCTGACTCCCTGCCGTAAAACAAGGTCTCCCAGCGAGAAGCTGTCGAGTACTCCTTACCGAAGGTTTAAATGGACTCTGCTCATAAATTTCTTACTGAGATGCTTCCTGATAGCCAGGCTGGCTGGAGAGGGGGTGCAGCGGAGGTTAGACAGCAAGTGGTGGCCGTTTGTGGTCAATTACCTCAATCCCATTTGTTTATGGCACTGCCCATAAATCATGTAGAAAGCCCCCAGTATTTTAGGGCTGGAGTCTGGGAATCTCACGCTGTCCACCACAGAGCGAGAACTGCGGTAGAAAGACACCCTCCCCGGGACCACAGAAAACAGGGAACAGGACCCAGAGGCCACGTGCAGAACCGCGGCGGGCCTGGCCGGCTTCTCCCTAGCTGGTCTCCCGGGTCCTGCTGATTCCACATCACCCGTCAGATTCCACCCCTGCCACCTGCCCTGCTGCCTGCCCTCCTTCCTGTGGCTTCCCCTCCAGGGCCTTATGGGATTCCTCTGGGCAAGTGCTTCTGAGAAGAACAGTTTCTGGGCAGGCGCCATCTGTCTGTCTCTGAACCATAGCAGGACTCTCCTCGGTGCATCTTGGGTGGTCATCCTAGCATCTCAAATGGTTCTAGGGGCTGTTTGGTCCTGGATGAAAGTCGGCTCTGGCTAAAGTTTAGTAGTGCACAAGGACCTGCCTTTATACCACAGGCAAAGTTAACATAGTTTTTAGCATTTAGAGTGTCTTACTAAGTTTAGGTCATTCATTGAGCCAACATTTGCTAAATGCACAATTCCCATCACACGAGATCTGCCGTTCCGTGACCTCTTCTGATATCCATGGTTTCACAAGTTCACGCAGCTGCTACCGAAGATCTGTAACCTTGAAAAGTCACTGCGGGTTACATGTGATGTTCACCAAACTCCTCCATCCCATTGGCAAGTCTCGTTCCCCTTAGCACCTGAAGCTCTGTACCCAGATCAAAGTCATCAGGAAGGGGGAAGCAAGAGGAAGAGGGGGTGGCGTCTGCCCTGGGGCTCAGGACAGGGGAAGGACAATGCGACCGTGTCCTCTTCCCATGTACCTCCATCCCAAGCATTCACTGAGCTCTTGATGCAGTGTCTGGACTGAGATTTGCAAGGACTTGGATACCGTTTGAAATGGAAAAGATTTTAAGTGGGCTTTAACATGTGAAGAAATGGGAATGGGGATCCCCAGATCCATCTCGGCTCTAACCTTGACCGTGCACCTTACCATCTGAAGGCGCCTCTCTTCCTGACACTTGGGCTTCAGAAATACTAGTGAAGCAGACGGGACCCGAGGCACCTCCAGTGTGGATGGCGGCAACGGGGCTCGGCCCTTTGTGTCCATAAAGGTCTGTTGGGTTTTCCGCAGGAGCCACTGGCTCACCCGCTCCTCAGAGGGAGAGAAGAGGAAGTCGTCTCCAAGTTTTGGCCGATGGCTGGTGGTCAGGATCGGCGTTGGGATTGGCTGCTGGAGTCCTGCTGATCCCACCCGCGCGCCCTCCTGTGGAGCCCACTGTGTAAGCACAGGCCCGCGGGTGGCCTCGGGCCTTTGAGGCAAGAGCAGGGGAGGAGGGCGTGGCCATGCAGATACGGCCCTCAAGTGGTTTTTCCGGGTCCCGCCCCCACAGCTTCATCTCCCACCGGCAGGAGCCCAGGGCTGCGGGATGGGAGGGGAGGGCGGGGGTGGGGCGGGCAGCTGGGCCGGGCAGACCTGGGCCCACCCCCACTGGCGGCCCCGGCTTCTTGGCAGGGACGCACCATCAGCGAAGTGTCTTCAGAGGAATCTGGTGTTTCCCCCACGTGAACTAAGGGAACATTTGGGCAAGAAGAAAACATCCAGGGGAATCCTTCTGAACAAAATGGCTGTCTTACTCTTTAAGCAAAAACTTTGCAAACTTTTTAGTGTCAAAACTGTAACCAAGTGTCTCCTGGGTTTTTCCAACGTGTTTGGCGAGTGCTGTGACCCTGTTGTAGGTATTTCTCCTCCTGACTCTTGGGGGGAGAGATGGTTTTAGGGATTGATTTGGGGGGAGTGGGTTTTTGTCCCACACCCACCTCCTCTTTTGTTTCTCTGCTTGTCGATGTTGTCTGTGTGGTTCAGAGAATCGGGGTGGTTACCTTGTGTCCATTGTTGAGATTATTAAGATATTACAAAGTAGTTGTAGGACTGAAAAATTAAAGAGCTGTGTTTTTAAAAATCCCTCCAATATCATGTTAATAAAGGAATTCAAGCTATGGGGCAGCCAGGCTCCTTCCATCCCCCGAGTTGGCTGGGATGGCAGCTGAGCTGGCCTCTGGGGAAACACGGTGGCCGTGGTCCAGGCAGGCGACCACCCAGGGAAGGAGGCAACCGCTGAGTTAGGGGAACAGGCTCCTGGGCCCTGGTTTGCCCACCCACCTTCGGGACCCCTGCGGGGTGTTTCCAGATCTGTGAGCCCACACTGGCTGCAGCCCTGTGTGCCAGATGCTGTGTGGTCACCTGGGCCTGGCGCCGGACCTCTTCCTGCCCACTTGGTGCTATATCATCCCGTGGCCCATCCAAGATGGGCCGAGCCCCGGCCAGCCTGGAGCCTACGATCTGGATGGGGGAGTCCTCCTCAGAGCCCAGTTCCTTTGGCTTCAGTTCCTGGATCCTTTCCCTGAAAGCTTTTTAGACCCCAGGTCTCCCAGGCCCAGGCCGTCCGTCTGGGCCCTAACAGTGGCCTGGCCAGGAAAGGAGGTGGCCCCTGCCAAAGCCAGAGAGCTACCCCCCGGGCTGGGGCAGCCCCCCCCCCCCGCCCTCCCACAGCAGTATTGTGCTCTCCACCTCGGCACGGTGGACCCCTGGGGGCGGCCCGGGGGGGGGGGCCTTTGGGCCCAGCGGGTGTGCAGCGGGGGGCCTCGGGCCTCGGGCGCGCCCGGGGGGGGGGGGCCTTTGAGCCCAGCGGGTGTGCAGCGGGTGGACTCGGGCCTCCTGGGATGGCTCCCGCTGCTCCAGAGGGAGAGCTGCCCTTTGATGAGGCCCCAGGGCGCCGGGCACTGACCCCCTGTAGCTTGAGTTCCTTCTGGCAACAGTAGTGGCCGAGGGGTGGGGTCTGAGCGAACGCACCGCTGCCTTTAGCTGTGCACCTGCCCCGTCGTGTGGCTGACACGATCATGACGTTACAGAGAAACTGAGTTAGAGTCGAATTTGCCTTGGTAATTATTGTAAACACTTTGTTCGTTTTTTTTCTTTTTTATTCACAAACTAAATCCATCAGGAAATTATAAA